TTAACTAATTACTTACCCAATCTTCTATTTATGGAAATTTAGGGTTTTGCCCAGTTTTTCCACATTGAAAACAAGACTGTATTGCTGTTGGACATTCCCAGGAGAAGAATTGCTGGGTTAAAAGAAATACATCTTTAAAATTTTGATACAAATTCTTAAATTTCTCTCCAGAAAGAGAGTAATTATTTATATCCCTATCAATAGTGTATGGAATACTGTAACTTCCCCTGAAACTGGTTATTATTAAGCTTTTAAATCTTTGCCAATTTGTTAGGTGAGGAATGATATCTCCTAATTTTTAAGCTTACAGTTTTATTGCTGGTGAGGTTGAGCAGCATTTCACATTTTATTAGACCTTGTATTTCTTTCACTGTAGATTTTGTCTGTTATGTCCTTTGACCATTTTTCTGTGGAGTACTGTTAGTGATATTTTTTAAATAGAAACTTCTTATGTATTAAGTAAAGTAAACATTTTATACAGACTGTACAAGTACTATTTATCTGTTCACAATTTGTGTTTATTTGTGTTATCTTTTGCATGTAGGAGTCTTAAAATGTTTATGTAGTTAATTCTGTCTGTCTTTTACTAAGGTGTTAGGCTAGTGCCATCTAAAGAAAAGCCTCTATACTTCCAATATTATAAAAATAAATAAATCTTATACCAAAAGTTTTATAGAAAAAAAACTAGCATTTTTGAAAAATAATTATTTAATATTGCAGAAAACCTCTCCTTTGAGACATTCTTGGCATTTATAAATCTAAATTCCTAGGAACTCATTCACAAAATTCATTTATTTCTTGAAGAAATATTTATGAAACATTTCTGGATACCAAGCACTTTTCTAGGCATTTGGTACACATTGGGATCTTGTCTAGTGGACGTAAGAAAGGATAAACAGAGAGAAAAAATGTAATGTAGCATTTTTTAATAAAGAAAATAAATTGATCTCTGTGGACCTCCTCTAAGCTCATATAACATGTGGACTTCCTGTCATCATATTTAAACTATATTCTGATTCATGGTTTAAATGTCTTTCCACCCACTAGGATGTAAGTAACTTAAGGGCAAGGAATGTACTTTTTCCATCTTTGAATCTCTGTTACCTAGCTAGGTATTTGGCTCATTCTCATGGCTCAAGAAATATATTGTGAAATAAATAGATTTCCCTACTTAGAAATTTCCTACTTCCTTCTCAAATTAATACTCATACCCCTGCTTCCATTTCCCCTCCTTCCTTGCCCCATCTTTCCAAAATAAAAAAACAACACTAGTTTTAGATTGGAAACAGCGCAAATTCCCAAGTACTGATGTTTGAGCACATACTACTCAATCAAAATCAAATATGCTTAGCTCATAAAAAGCAGTCAATAAAGAAAATTATTGAATGAATTGAATGACTACATTTTTTAAAAAATCATTTAGAAAAGTAGTAGGGGGAATGTTGTACTCCTCTCAATACAAGCTCATAGCAAGCATTTTTAAGAGAACTTACACATTACCTGATCTTGCAACAAAAATTCAAGTGAAACCATAAATAAAAGCCAGAGTTATTAATTAACACTGGAGAAACATCAATTTACAAGTGTGGGCAGAAACAAAGTTGCAGAGCTAAGGATTATGAATCTCACCAAAGTCTTACTGAAAACAATGTTATCTTTTTCTGTTACATGCCTTTTCAGGTGGGTTTCTAACTTCTAGGCTTAACTGGGAGGCTGAGATACATTTCTCAAATAGAGACCTACTCTTGCCTCTCTGATAATGAATGAGCAGTTACAGCTCTTGGTTACAATTAGTTTTTGCTTTTGGAGCACCAGGGGTGATATGCCAATGCTCTGGAGAAGGAGGTTGTGAGGCGGGATCTGGAAGCTGGGGCTCTGCTAAAGCCAATATGCTCTTGTAGGATGTGGCTGTGAATACAGTATGTGCTAAGATGTAAATAACACTGCCAAAGCACCAAATGCCATGTTTCTTTTTTTTTTAATTTTAGAGGACTATTCTGAGCAGTTATAGACATACACATGTATAGATGCATTTATATTTCTGTTACCCAAAAACCTGAAATCGTGTGAAAAATGAGTCAGGCTTTATTAAAATCATTAGAAAGACCCTTAATTTGGTGTTTTCCCCCAGTAAGTGACCAGCACCAAGCCCTCCATCTGAAGCTGGAAACCCTGGAATTCACGCGGCCAATTATGCAATACCAGGCCATCGGGAAGCATTTCTGGCTGGCTCAGCTGGTGATCCGATTTTACCCTTCAGTACCAAGACTGATCGACCTTATAATTTTATCCCGGTTAGTGCAGATGCTGTTCTTACATAGTTTTTAAAAACTTCTTTCTCCAAAAAGAGAAAGAAAAACAAATCTAAGCCCTTCCTAAGGGGCTTGCCCTTATGACATCTCATGGTGGTGAGATCACTACCCTGATCACTGGCTAGAGAAAAAAAAATTACATTTCATGATTTCTGAATTTGCTGTCGTTTAATTTCATTGAATGCTATGTGTACTTGTTTATGAGAAAGAGTGAAAAGGAACAGTAAATCACTGTAAATCACTCCTTTTATGAAGCTTATTTGGGCATGAGGAGGATGGGAATGAGACTTGTTCTTAGAAGGTACAGAATATCAATGCAGGAGCTGTTAGTTTCTCTTATGCTAATGATGAGATATAATTTTAAAACATCACATTCATATGCATATATGGTGCATACATACATAATTAGTATATTTACAAAGCACCTTGCAGAACCTTAGAACTCCTAGTTCTCTTAACCCTTAAAGGGAAAACTGGAGTTCAGATCAGTCAAGCACAATGGAATGTGCTCCCTTTCAATTATATTCACCCAATATCCACGTCTAGGAAAGAGATCTTCGAAAAAGTAAAATACATTTTTATGAAGCACTGCCACAGTCTGTTACGTATTTTTCTGCTTCTACAGTTCTAATTACAAAATAAGCACTAGCTACTACTTGGAACAATTGCACTAGCCAAAAAGATTTTTATAGTCAAGAGAAATGCTCCCATATTGACTCTGCTAAGAGGAACAACTCCCCTTTCCTTGATTATAAAGAAGGAAGACAGATGGCTTCTTGTTTAAAACTGTAATTTTACTTTCAGCCTCCTCCCTCAGTTAAAAACAAGATGTACTTTTCTGGCTTTGAGGGAAAATCTCAAGGGAAGGGTTTTTTATTTCTGGCTGCACTGAATAATTCAACAAACATTTGAGAGAGCTGAGGGAGATACAAAGGAGAAAATACTTTTCCTTGTTCTCAGGGAGTTTACAATCTAATCGTGAAGTTTACAATCTGAATTGGGATCAGAACTATTAAAGTTTTATTTCTTCACTTCTATTTATTGGCTTAATGGTTACCTTTAACACACGTAGGCTTCACCAGCCTTGTAGTATGATGGATCTCTGATCAAACTGAAAGGGAACGTAGGGAGAATGCAAAAGAAATAAGGATCTCAAGCAGTACTTGTTGAATGCTTACTGACCTGCCAGCTGCTTTCTTATGTTATTTTATCTTGACCACAACACTTTGTAGTCATCCTTGCGGCCAGCATTTCACAGAGGAGGAATGAGGTTTACAGAAGTAACTCATCCAAAGACTCAGGAAATGGTATCAGAACACACCAATTAGGAATTCTCCTCCTTCCCTGGCTTTTTCTTTGGCTGTCCCCAGGCTATCATTTCAACTTTTCCTTCCTTTAGATTACCTTTCAGTGCACGTAAAGTCATCTTACTTCTGTGCTCTTTTTCTTCCCCTTACACTGAGTAATCTTTAAAACTGCTGTCTTTTATTTGGCAAGTCAGTCCTTCTGGACTCTCACTCCCTTGGATCTATGCAAATAAACTTTGTCTTTTCTGATTCTCTCTTTGAGCCATTCTGTTGACAAGATGAAATGAGACATGAAGGCTGTAACAGTGTCTGATATGTGGTTCTCTTAACTATGATCTTTAGTTTTATTTCTTTCACCTTTTAACTATTCTCAACTCACACTGCATTTCCTAACGACTCTTCTGGAGTTGTAAATTTCTTGAAAGTAGTGACCAGGTCTACTCTAACTTGTTGCTACACCCCCCGCCCATTGATTTGGCAGCAGGAACTTTATCTCTTTTGTTCACCTCTTTATTGTCGTGGGACGTGCAGGGGTGGGGGATCTTTGGAGCGCTGGGAACAGCGAGAGGCATCGGGTATGTTCTCAGTAAATATTTTTAATATAAATTAATGCCATCTTATTGTTTTTTATGGACAATCTTATGTAAGAAAGTTTAGTTCCGATTCAATATGGCTTTGACTTGAGAGCCTGGAGAACTTTTTGTCTTTTCCCTATTTCTGGCTCTTTATTACAATTTCGACCTTGGGTGCATTTCATTAGGTTCTTGGTCCCCTTCAAGGCTCAGTTTCCACATCAGCAAAATGGGGACAGTAGCAACAGATGCTTGTTTCTTCCTGTTTTCTATCACCTATTCCTTCTCCGGGGAAGGTTTATTGTGTACGCTTCCCTTCGGATAAAAAAGCAGCCGACGGAGCAGTAAGAAGCCGTCAATCTCAGTTGCGCGCCCAGCGGGAAGAGGGAGAAGTCCTGAGAGCCTCCCCCGTGCCTCCCGGGTCCGGAAGCAACCCGGCCCCATTTCAGCTGAGAGTAAGCCGGGTCTTCGGGCTCCTCAGCCGCAGACGCCCTCTTGCCCCGACACAGCGCTCTGCCTCGGTGCCACCGCGAAATGAGCCCGGCGCCGCGCAGGCTCCGACGCGCGCCAAAGGGCCCGGCCTCGTTCTGGCTGCCGCCGCCCCGCCGCCCGCGCGGCGCTGCACTGGGGGCGGGGAGTCTGATGGGAGACGCGCGCGGCGCTGAGGAGGCGGCGGCCCGGGAGAGGGAGCGGGAGAGGGACTGGGCGCGGGAGGCGGGAGGCGGGAGACAGAGGGAGGCGCCGCCGCCGCCGCCGCCCGCCCCTTTCCGCTGGGAAGCAGCTGCAGCAGCAGGAGCGGAGCAGGAGCCGCGCAGCCGCTGCCGCCGCCGCCAGGGGATGTGGCCGGCGCCTGCCCCGAGCCGCGCCGCCTCCTGAGTACCCGCTGCCGTCGCCGCCGCCGTCGCCGCCGAGCCGTGCGGGGCCAGGCCGCGCCCTCCCCGGGCGCCCGCCGGCTCGCATGCCGAGGGGCTCCGGGGCGTAGCTGCGCGCCCGGCGCCGCCTCCGGGCTCCTCCGGCCCCGCCATGGGCTGCTGCAGCTCCGCCTCCTCCGCCGCGCAGGTGAGGGGCTCCCGCCTCCCGGCCGCCCGCCCGGATGCCTCTCCCGCGCCGCGCGGCGGGCGCCCGCCTCCCGATGCCTCTCGCTGCCCCCAGCGCCCCTTCAGCCCACCGTGCGCTCCAAAGGCCCCCACCCCGTCTTTCCCCCCAGTGCGTCCCGCAGATGCCTCGGCGCTAGCTCCCGCGGCTGCCGACTCGCAGGCGCCTCTGCGCGGCTCCGAGTGCGCCCTCTGCTCTCCCCGGCCCCTTGCCGACCTGGCTTCCTCCTCCCAGTCACACCTGAGCGGCCGTCCCGCCCGCCTGCAGGTAGAGGCGACGCAGGCGCCTCCTCTGTGCCCCAGGTGGCATCCCCTTCCCTCGTCTTCCGGGCCTCGCTCTTCTTTTCCCACCCCGGTGGAGTCTCCCCCTCCATCCGCCGACTATTTTCTGTGCTCCCAGGACGTGTACCCCCGATATGGGCTCTTCACCTCTCTCCCACCAGTTTCTGCTCCATTAGATATTCTGTCCCCTTTCTCTCGCCCGCCGCCCCCTGGCCGGGTTCAACTGTTTTCAGCGGGTTCTGGAGCCCTTCCACGGCCCGCTTCCCAGGTCCCACTCGCCCGCCTCCCACCCCATCCCCCCTTTGTGCCTTGACCCCGGGCACCGCGGCCTGTCCGCACGCCGAGGCCCCTGCGGGAGCGCTGGCTCCGGGCTGGGAAGGAGATTGGGCACCTGGTGGGTGACGGGAGCGTTACGGAAACTCCCTCTTTGTTGCCAGTGTAACAGGAGGAAGAGGTGCCGAATTTAGTTTTCCTGTGGGTACTGGCTGAATGTCGCTGAGCGCTGAGATGCAGAGATTTCTCCCAGCTTCCACCCTGCCCCCATCCAAATTTCGCCAACCTCTTTCTCCGATCCGAGCCCTTAACCTGGGTGGAAATGTTTAGACAACTGTATAAGGATCAAATGTAATAGAACTTGACTGCTGGCCACTAATAACTGAGAGGACCTGTTTGTAAATTACCTAATTTAGTGGATTAGTGAGTATATTTACAAATACGATAAAAAGCAATCAGGAATACTGCATCAAACTGTCTGGTGGTGGTGTATGAAAAATAGGCTCTGACAACGCCTGGGATGTAATCTCACAGTTTCATTAGCGTAGAATTTAACTGTGGTCTGTGATTTGTTTATTTTTTGGGGGAGAAAAGGGCTCTTGTTTTTAGAAATAAAAGCTGGTTGGTTCTTGGTGAAGAAAAATGCTAGTTTGGGGGAAAAAATTCCTCCAGAGATCTAACATCTGTGATAATGCCAGAAGTGTTTTGCTGCTGCTAAATGACTATATATAACTCAGTTTTAAATAACCTGCATACTTGTTCTAAAAATCTGAGATCTGTTAGAAAATGACTAGAATTGCAGATGAATGGAGGACATTTATGTTTTATTAGGTATCCTTCCTATTTGTCCAGTTCTTTTTTTTGAGTGGTTGCTTACCCGTTTGCTCTTTTTTCTTTCTTTCTTTCTTTCTTTTTTTTTTTTTTCCTACTAGGATTATAGTCAGGCTGATTGGTGTAGTTAAACCTTCCTATTCAGTTAGAATAGCAAAGGAAAGGTATATGTGGTGGTGTTAGGAAGGAGAGGCTTGATAGATCAGGGTTTCTATTAACATATAAAGGTTACACATACCTTTCAACTGGTTAGGAATTGGGGGGGGGGTCTGGATGGGTGCTATTCATCTAATATTTACCTAAATGTAATTTCACCAAAATAGTATTTTTCATATTGCCTTTTCTTTTCAGAATTGGGTTACTTTGCATTCTGTTTTGGTGGTGAAATGCCTTTAAGACAGGAAAGTATTGATAGTTTATGGATGGCTTGTTCAGCGTGTGAAGGATTAAATTTGGGAGGGATGGGTGATGCACCAGAAGTCTGCTTTAATAACAGGTAGTGGGTCTTGCATTTGTCCAGCTCCACATCATACTTTTCAGAATGCCGTTGTATACATTTTCTTTGCTTCTACCTTGTCTTGCAGTTGCTATTTCCTTCATGCCATGTTCTACAGACAAGATGCATGTCATGTACCCGAAGGGTGCCTTTTTTCCTGTGGATTCCTATAGCCGATCAGCAGCTGTCACATGCCTTTAAGTTCAGCTTTAGGGACTTGTAGTGTTCAGTGGAGCATTGAGGAACAGGTTTTGTGCCAAAGAGCTGGTCATCAGTTTTTTTTCTTGTTTGAGATTTTTGGCTTCCTCTTCATTTGTGAAGTGTTAATGATCTGCTGGCATTTTAAAGCTCCTTTCAGAAGCATCATCAGTTTTAGAATACTATTGTATCCATGTGTTGTGTTGAAATAAAATCGGAATGCAACTCTAAATCTTCTAAAGAGGGAAATGTCCACATCATTTTGAGCCTCTCTTAGGGGCCTCAGATGTATTTCCAGGCAGAATATGTTTGTTTCATCCCTTCTATGGGATTGTAAGCTTCTTGAGTATGGGGATGGCATTGTTTTGCTCATGTTTGTATCCACTGCAGTGCCTCCTGTACCTTGTACATGATAGTTGCCCAGCAATAGTCACTGATCTGGAATGTATACATACAAATTTGAACAACTGGCTAGCAAGTGACATTGAATATGAATACATCCCTGACCCGTGTACTGTTTCACTTCCATGGGCTGGTTGACTAATTCCACCAAGCCATCCTCTTCTAAACTCAAACCTGTACTGTTTAAGTTAAAATTAACCTGCCTTTCTCAACATTCCTTCTTATTCTGTCAATGGTACCATCAGCTTGCAGAATTGAGCAGGTTTCCCCTTTTCTCCTGATGCTCTGCTCAATGTGTATGTTTTAGTTGGAGCCGTGGCTGTAACATCTTAAAAGAGCTTGTCTGCAAACTCTAATGATAACCTGCACAACACATCAAAACAACGTGCTTTGAGATAATCTGCAGTTGAGCTGAGCTTTTCTCAGCTATATCATCAGCAACTTTAAAGCCCTGGCACGTTTTATCAATGTAAATAAAGCACATTTTCTTTTTGTAGTAGGGATTCACTTTCAAAATATGATTTATTTTCTCTCGTAGTCTCTTGCTGTGTTATAGACTCTCATAAAAGAGTTTGTGGTCTTCCAAACTTTCATCTCTTACAATCTGTCCTGGTACTATTTTCATTTTCTTGGCAGTGTCTGGGTATCATAATTTCTCATCAAAATAATTATCCTGTTTTAGGATTTAGATCAAAGAAAAATGTCACATTCTATGCTAGCATTTTCTTGCTGAAGGAGCAAATTATTGGCAAAATAATTTGTGTGGTATCAGGTATGTGCATGTAAGAATCTTAAAAGTGTCTAGTAAATCAGGGCTCTTTTAGAACTCTTTTAATTTTTTTCTTTAGTGACCATTACAAGTTGTTTACTTTGGTTAGTAGCTCAAAACAAGCCAATACATGATAGCCTTCGTTTAAAAGTCTTTTGAAGGCAACCTAAAAGTAGGATAGCCTTGCGTTTCTTTTTACAGCACTAATCCTCTCTAAGACTCTTAAAATTTATTCCCATCTCTCCATAATTCATTCTGTTATAACCTGACATAATTTCTATTCTTGTAATGTTAAACTTCAAAGTTCACTTGTAAATCGTTAGATTTATTAAATGCTCTTTCCCATTGACAAACCAGTTTGAAGGAAGCTTTTGAAAGATTACTTAGCAAATTGCCCTAAGTCTTTGTCCTTAATGGCTAGATCATTATTTCTCACAGCAGTGCTTTGGAGGCCAGGAGATTTTGCAAGTTGTGAAGTTCAGTGTCCTTCAGTTCTAACCTTAGAAATTTGCAAGAGATGGAGGAGAATCTTTCTGGTTGAATAAACTTCTCCTTGTCTGTCTGACTTTAGGAGACTTTTGTCTACTGTCTTATCCCATGTTCTTAAAATTGAGGGCTGTATATTTAACTGTCTTTTTCTAGCTCTCATATCTTGTTTTGGGAGTAATGAAAAGCAATCAGAAGTTGTTCACAAATACTTGTTAACATTTGAGTATGTTAACTGGTGCCTTAACAGAATTTTAATAATATCATAGTCTATGTCTGCTTTGTGGAATTTGAAGTCAGATGGTTAAAATGAAATTTGAAGAGTATAGTGGGAATTACCAACAGAGGTTATGTTCCTCATCTAAAATATGAGCTGCAAAGTTTACCTGCTGTAACTAGAACAAAAAAGTTGTGGTATGAAGACTGTTTTTTTTTTTTCCATCTGAATACTGTGCTGTTAGGGTAGAGGATCCACTCCTCAGAATATATAAATCAAAAGTTAATGTCAAAATTGGCTGGAAAAATAGTGTAAAATGGTGATCGTTTTTGAATAGCTGTTTTTCACAGCCATTTTCATGTTTTAATCTCTATAGTAACTCTGAAGTTGATTTTACTTCCATGGTATAGCTGAGGAGATTGAGACTTGGAGATTATGAAACTTGGCTAAAGTCACAGAGATACTAAGTGATAGATTTCAACTTCAGGCCAGGTCTTCTGAATCTGAGTGCTCTGCTTCTATGTTCGCATACACAATTCCTAAATATTAATTCGCAGCTCATTTTTTTATCTTTAGAAAAGGTTTACTCAATAAAATTTTGAATGAGAGGTTTTCCAAGTTAAATGTCACGCCACCATTTTGAACTTCCTGAAGTTACCAGTGGGGAAGTAACAGTGTAATATAGCAGAGATAGCCCAGTTAGAGTGCTTCCAGGCTTAGCAGATGCTATCAAATACTATTTGATATGTTGACAGCCCTATCATTTAAAAATGTTATTGGCCTAAAGATAATTACTTTAAAAAATATATTCTACTGGTAATTGATTAATAGCTATTTTTCTGTGTTCCCTTCCCTCTCAGACTACCAAGGAAAAATGAAATATTTTAGTTTTGTAACTCTGGTTCAAATTTTTGTGACTCTAGGGGATATTAGAGACAAATCAATCCTACTATCTCACTTTTCTGTTGATCCAAACTAGAATTTAGAAATATGAAGTGGTCTGAGGTCAGA